ACTCCTTCACCATCAATGTCACATCTGAGAGTAACTGTGTCTCCTCTGAATACATGTTGAGCAGGTTTAATGGTCGCTTTGGGTTTTGGTCTTTCTGTACAACAACAACAATTCACAATAAAAAATTATGTGCTATATAATATAATAAATACAACATGCAAATCTAAGAGGGTTTCAAACCCACAATCTTTAGGTTAATAGCAGGTTAGATTACAGTAACTGATGATTGAGAGTTTAGTAATTAAAATCATCATCTGCATTCTGAAATCAGAATCTTCAGTTTTAAATCTTAAACTTTTTCAACCACTGTGGAGAACCACTTAAAACGGCTCTGGGATCTAAAACTGAGAAATCACTCATTAATAACATGTTAAACGTGTTTGTGTGTGTATGAAGAGATGATCAAACTCACCTGATACTGTCAGTGTAACTGCATCACTGTCTTGTGAGCTGCGTGATCCTCCTCTCTCTGCTCCATAACAGAAGTATTTACCTGCATCAGACTCCGTAACAGACCTGAATGTGTGTTCCTGTAGTTCACTGGTACTGTAGGATGAATCATCTTTATACCAGCTGTACTGCCAGCTAGTGACTCCTTCACCATCAATGTCACATCTGAGAGTGACTGTGTCTCCTCTGAATACATGTTGAGCAGGTTTAATGCTCACTTTGGCTTTTGGTCTTTCTGTACAACAACAACAATTTACAATAAAAACAATGTGCTGCTTTTACTGTATGAACACAGTTGACTGATTGTAAAACATTCATGCTAAATAAGGTAAGACTGAAGTGTTGTTCTCTGTAGCTGTTAGGCGGTATGGTCACTTGTATCTTATGAAATCATTTGCACATTGTGCAAGGAAAAGTACTTGCTATGTATTTGCTCACTGCTAATGGTCATTTATAAAACTTGTTTAAAAAGGTGTGTTTATAATCAAAACGTTTATTTTCTCATCTGGTTTGTAACCATTAGTGAGACATCACCCATATGTTATGAAATATATAAGTATACATAATTCTAAATGGCGTAGAGATTAACAAAAAAAAAAATCATTTCTGACCAAGAGGTGGTGAAACAAAAACAGCAATATATTTTACAATGTCTCATAATCAATATTACAGAAACTGTAAATATCTTCATTTCAAGATCAAGAGAAGGATCTTGTTTTTAGACCAAAGGGTTCAAAGTTATAAGCAAAAGAAAATTCACTACACATGTTTGGTGCTTGACCCCTAAAAATCTGAACACTTTTCAACCACATCTGAGGAGAATCACTTAAAACTGCTCTGGGATCTTAAATTAAAACCCTTATGCGCTGTTCGTTTGGGGTATACACTTGTGCTGTTTGGCGTCTCCAGAGACCCCAAACATCAAAATGTGATGATAATGCTTTTTAAAAACAAACGTAATTTGACTCAGTTTATTAATGTTTTTACTCTAAATTTGTGCAGTTTTGGGATGATTCGTGGAATTTTTTTTAATTTATACGAATAAATAAAAAATTATATATATATTCTTTTTACTTTTTATGTAAAATAGACTTTATAAAAGACCCACATTCCTAATTTTAATTCATGGGGATAACGTGGCCAATGTGCCATACCATAATGGGAAACTGTTTCCATCTACTTGAAAACAAACACTTTTAAAATGAGAAAAACATGACATTTCAACTACAGCCACCACATGGCTCTAGAGCATTACTCAGTGGCTCATTTGCCATTTCCACATAGGTATAGATCTTTTCACAAGTTTTTTATTTAGATATATGTTAAGAGATTATAAAACCATTATTGTAATAATAAAAAATGACTGTCAAAGTTTAGCAGTTTTTTGTATTGAAGTATAATTTTTGCAATTATGTCAAACCTGTATGTAGTGTTATATGTGTGTATTAGTGTGTATATATGTGTGTGTGTGTGTGTGTGTTTACATTTATTCTCCATTGTGCATGTGCTGTGGTGTCCCTCCATCATTTCTGTGTGTGTTCTTCGTTGTAGCTGATTTTTATTTGACAAATTATATAAGAGAGAGCCACTCATGTCATGTCACTTTTTCATGTCTTGTGAGTGGGTTTTATGAGCGTTGGGGAGTGGGGTAGGTGTTGTATGGGTTTTTCATCCACCGCAGATGTGCTGTGGTGTCACTCCTTGTCTGCATTGTAACTAACATTTATGACAAATTATGTAACAAAAAAAAATCAATATTTTGTAGTCTCCCATTGATTTCTATGGGCGATTTTTTTGGGGTGGGGTGTCTGTGGGGGTGGATGTGTGTGCGAGCATAATCGTTCTGCATTGTGAACGTGTGGAAGGGTTGCCACTTCATTTTCATGTATTTTGTGGTCTGCGTTGTGGTGGATTTAGTGATTTTATTTGACAAATTAAAAAGAAAAAGTATTGATTTACCCATTCATTTCAGTGTGGGGTCTCCAGAGACCCCAAACATCCTGAGTGTGACTTTTTTCCCACACTAACATACAGCAAGATATCAAGCCAGTTTATTTTTTTTATTTGTAAAGCTACCAAGTGTTGGCAGCCACACAAAGTCTCATGCCATTTACATAAAGGGAAATTTTTTTTATTATTATTATTTCAGCAAACGTCATTTGTGGTCAAAAAGACCCCAAACAGCACCTAAGGGCAGGGTGCGAACTACGGGGGAGCTAGGTGGAGCTCGGCTCCCCTTAATAAGACATGGGCTCCCCTGAAAACGTGATTTGTGAAATTTTGGGGGGTCTCAAAAAATATTGACAATGTGTTATTTTGACGTGCAATTTCAGTTTTGTGTAATGTGATCATTGTAGATTATTATGTGTAAAACTGCAAAAATATCATTCATTCATGCCTGATGGCGATTTAAACCTAATTCACTTCAATAAAGATAACTATACATGCTATTCTTGTCATGAGCATCGAGGTGTGGGGGCGCTGCGGTGCAAATTCCACTCATGTTTAGTACATGTTAACTCAAAGATTCGTAGAAAAAATATAAACGTTGGACTCTGTGGTCGATTCTGTGTTAAGGTAAGGCATGTTATTCGCAATTATGTGTTGTGGCTGGGTTGTTATAGGTCTGCGTGACTCTCGATGTCTTAGGCCTAATTGAACGGAGGAATTATGGTATTCTTCTGTAGCCTGACGACGAGTAACTTTAACCGTTTTTTATGTGAACTCAAAGACAGCCTGACGCTTTGCTTCTAGACTAATTGTGGGTGGCTGTTTGTTGTTTCACCTAATTCGTGTCGATAAAGTATAATAGGGTAAATCCTGTATAGTGATTTGGTTAAGAAATCACTCTTTAATAGCATGTTAAACTTGTGTATGAAGAGATGATCAAACTCACTTGATACTGTCAGTGTAACTGCATAACTGTGCTGTGATCTGCGTGATCCTCCTCTCTCTGCTCCATAACAGGAGTATTTACCTGCATCAGACTCAGTAACAGACCTGAAAGTGTGTTCCTCAAGGTTATTTTCGTAAACGAAAACTAAAACTTAGACGAAAACGATTGGTCAAAAAAACAATTTTCGTAAACTGAAATAAAATTTAAAAAATCAAAATAAATGAAAAACGAAAACGAAACGAAACTAACAACAGTTATTGCAAAACTAACTGAAATAAAATAATAATTATAAAAAAAAAATCGTTTTCGTAATCATTACGTTCTCACCCCATGGCGGAAAAATATATGAGCTGTCTGTCGGTTTAGGGGAATACCGGGAAATACCCGTAAATGGCGCATCATGCACGTGAGGTTATCTGACGGAGAGACGCAAAGCAGTTTAAAGCAGAGTCCTGCACGGGTCCTGTTTGGTAAACCTGCATCCGCA